CCGTTTCCTCCCACAAAAAAAAAAAATGCGGCTTAATGAAGACTGTGATTAAAAAGACCAAATATGCTATAGACATGATTAAAAATATATTCTGTGTACATGAATTGCACAAGCATTTTCTTCCCCATAGAAAAACGCGCTTAACGTGGCTTAATATAACAAGACAGTGATATAAACAGCCCAAATTTTGTATTTTATTAAAAATATACTACAGGCAATCAACGCAGTAATCCATTAAGCCAGTGGTTCTCAAACCTTTTACAATGGCGTACCCTCTAGGGCATTTAGCCTAACATTCTTCTGAGTACCCCAACTTAGACCGCAGTCACACCTTTTCCATTAAGGGGCAATATTTGCCCCCTTAAATATATTTACTTGTGCATTTTTACTGTAATAGAGGCAAAGTTTTTATTACTTGTATGTCATCTTTTATGTCATATTCTTCACATTTCATTAAGTGTATTATTAATATAAATGCTACAGGAATCTCACAGAAATCCTACAAGAATCCTACAGGAATGCTACAGGAATACCACAGAAATCCTACAAGAATCCTACAGGAATCACAAGGGGCTTCTACAGGAAATATAAGAAAGAACCACATCTGAAAATGTGTATATATATATATATATATATATATATATATACTTATTTATTTGATATTTTCACAAAAGGGCTCAGAAAGAGTAAGATCAGAAAGAAAACAGAAAAGTGTAAATAATAAAGAATACACAATAAAGAAAATACTCTGGACATTTGGAACTTCTGCAGGACTTTTTTGTGGGAAACAAAGCTTACAGATTTTTGAGTGTTGGTGAATTTGACTGTGTTTACATGCATTCACATGCTGCAGTGTGTGTGCCTTCTGTTGAGTGCCTCTTCTGTTGCCTATAATGGCAAAAGGCAATATGTAACATACTCAATATAATCATACATCCCCTTACAGAATGAGGTTAAATGTGCGTCACACGAGCTTAACATGTTAAAATCACATATGAAACACACATGAAACGTATGCTTCTGAAAAAATGTAACCACTTGATCACTTTTTTTCACATGAAAATGTTCCAAAGCCACACGTTTCGTGTGTGCTTCACATGTGATTTTAACATTTGAAACTCGCGTCACGCTCGTGTTTTTTTTATAAGGGTCGAATCAGAAGCTTATCTTTGCACTGAAAAAAATCTGCATTCATACATATACTACATTTAAGTTGTTAAAAATATTTATCAACAAATTTAATGAATGAGATGAATAACAAACACTTTCTGACACTGGATATATACAGTGAAAACATGTACCTTGATAGCATTTTGTGTTCATCATTTAGTTTTTCCCGGAATGAAGCTCTTAGAAACTTCCGTGGTGTTTCTGG